AATAATTTACCTCGTTTTAGAAATTGTTCATACGCAGAGCATGCTCTTGCGTATAAAATAAATGGAGTATATATATATATATATATATATATACTCCGTATGCAGTTAATTCGGTATATTTTGCACCCTATGTAACAACTGATCCAGAGCAAAAAAGATTCCATGATTTATTTTTTTCATTATATAAGTCAACTGTAACTTTGATAACAACCGGATTTTTGAGATTGGACGTTAGTTTTCCAAAATAATGAACCATGGTGTATTTTTCCAAAAGTGATGCAATCTCCATCTGAGTAAAAAAAAACTCGAGAATGAGTAAAAAAAACTCGAGAGAGGGACGTTAAAGCTGAACACGATTTGTAAAAGAAATGTGTCCGCCATTTTTGTTGGGATTCTCGCTATATCTGAAGACCCTTATATATAGGGCTTGACTTAAGACACTTTTAATTGTAATCAGTCGACACCGGTGTAAACGGACGTATGCTATACAGCACTTGGTAGCAAGACAACAAAGAAATTTACAAGGATAGTTGTACAGGTCATTGCAGTATACAAAAACACAGACACGTAACTGCAAAAATGGTGAACAAAGGCAATGCAAGGTAAGCAACCCGAACACGGGTCGCCATTCTACGTTGATACCCGTGACAAAGCAATCAGATGAAACGAATGCGAAGAGTATACCCTGGTGTTGATATAATGTAGATAATGACATCGAAGATGATGTATGCCTATTTACGAGTCGAGTCTAGCTTTAAACAATATACAATCAATCAATCTATAGTTTCTTCAGGTTCTTGATTAGCCTGTCTGAATTTGTAGACTTCAAATTCCCAGTTCTTTACTCGAGCAAAGTACTCGGTTAACCTTGTTACTACTAGGTAACCTCTGGAAGATTTCTTTTACGTCCTTTCTAGCATAGCTAAGCAGGAGACTTTTCTTAACTTTATCCCCTTTTCAAGAATAAGACTATCAAGTGTCAATTTCCTTTTCCGATTTCTTACCAGTAGCTGAATTTAGGAGACTTTTGATATCATCCGTGTCATCATACTCATCAGATGTCTCCCTCATATTTCATTTACCCGAGAACCATAAGCATGGTTTACCTCAAGAACTTAATAGATGGGGATCCTAGTTTTAGATGGTAACCTTCTGAATCATATCAGGCTTTTTTATTCTACCACGATAAAGTTTTGTTTAAGTGAACAAGTCTTTGATTTTTATGATAGAAAAAAAATCTTAGTCCCCCACGTGCCGTCTTAGATGGCGAATGCAAACACTGCCTATGTTCGCTGAAACGACTTATTTAAAATTATAAATCGATGGGAGAGATAGGGTACATGTTTCATAATTTGAAACAATTAAATTCAATGATAATCTAAATAGGCTCTCCCTTGGTCTTTTTTCCAGCCTACTTGTACATTATTTCAACTACTCCCGTCAAATGAAAAGAAAACACCATGCAGGTTCAAAAGAAAACATAATTTTTCAACCTTTGTATAGACAAACAAAGAAAAAATGTACAAAATAACAACGGTAAATTCCTGCATTGTGAAAAAATCTTATCATAAAAAAAAAAAAAATAAATCCTCCAACCTTGCTTAAGAAAACGCTTGCTTTGTAATCGAGTTGCAGGCATCTGCTGAGGTCAGGAACAAACTCCTTCACAATAGCCTCCAGATGAGGTCAGCCTTGCATAAAAGTTTTTCAAGGAATTGTTCATGAACACCATTATTTGTTATCACTACAACATGAAACCCCTCGCTTGCAAAAACCCTGCACCATCTCTAAAGAAAAAAAAACTGAATAATAATGACATTCCAAAGGAATCCCTAAAGATTGATCACAAAAAAGAACAATGCTAAATAATTCCTGTGGAGTCCCAAATTTATTTCAAGTTGTAATAATTGAGTATCGGTATAATTGACTTGATATTGTGCAATGTCAAAAACTTTATCAAATGTTAATTTAAGTATTACCCGAGGAACTCTTTTAAATAAACAAACTTAAGAAAAAAAATGAATGTTTGACTTTCCTCTGGTATGTTTCACCATCGTTTTTCCAAGTAAGTCTTCACCTTCTAAATTTCAGCGAAAATTGAGAGATCAATAAGAGAATCCCTTGTTTTCTGGAACAGATCCACTGAGGGAGCTCTGGCCATATTTTGCAATGCACCCATAAGTGTTTCTTTCTCTCATTCATCGAGATCAATTTTTCAGCCCTGTCATCTTTCAAATTCAAGATGTTGAATGAAAGAATAAGCCGCTGGAAATGTATTTTATAGACAAGTATCATATTGTCTTGCTCTGTTTACACCATCAGATCTAAGCTTGTTCCACGCGATAAGTGCATGCATAGGTGTTTAGCTGCATCAGGAAACAGCTCATGTAGATAAGATATATTTTGAATCGGGAAGTGATAAATGTTTTATAAACACTTTTAAATGACCACATGTGATAAAAAAAGAAACTGCATGTCAAAGACTTGGAGAAAAAATCAATTTCTAGATATACTGCCTTTCAGTCAATTTGCTATGTAGAAAGTTTCTTGCATCTTTATCGGGACTGTTATCAACCTCATCATTCTTGTTGGATTCTTCACAAAAATGTGTGTCCGTCCGTAACAAATTTTCGTCACAGTTTTCTCAGCAACTACTCATCGTAAATACTTGAAATTTTAACACAATCTTCTCTGAGACATGCCATATGGTGGGATACATTTTTGCTCTAATCCGATGTCAACTTCCTGTTTGTCTGTGCGTCTGTCCGTTTCATACATAACAAATTTTCGTCAGAGTTTTCTTGGCAACTACTCATCGTAGATGCTTGAAATTTTAACACCATCTTCTTTGAGGCATGCCATATGCTGGGATACATTTTTGTTCAAATCCAAATTCCTATTTGTCAGTGCGTCTGTCCGTGCATAACAAATCTTTGTCGCAGTTTTCTCATTAGCTATTCATAGCAGATGCTTAATTTTAGTACACTTTTTGTTAGCTCACCTGAGCCGAAGGCTCAAGTGAGCTTTTCTGATCACATTTTGTCCGTCGTCCGTCCGTCTGTCCGTCTGTCTGTCCGTCCGTCTGTAAACTTTTCACATTTTCGACTTCTTCTCAAGAACCACTGGGCCAATTTTGACCAAACTTGGTACAAAGCATCCTTGGGTAAAGGGGATTTTAAATTGTTAAAATTAAGGGACATATCCCCTCGCAAGGGGAGATAATGAAGAAAAGACAAAAATAGTGTTGGGTCATTAAAAAATCTTCTTCTCAAGAACCACTGGGCCAGTAAAGCTGAAACTTATGTGGAAGCATCCTGGGGTAGTGTAGATTCTAAATTGTTCAAATCATGACCCCCAGGGGTAGGGCGGGGCCACAATGGGGAATCAAAGTTTTACATAGAAATATATAGGAAAAATCTTTGAAAATCTTCTCAAGAACCACTGGGCCAGAAAAGCTGAAACTTATGTGGAAGCATGCTGGGGTAGTGTAGATTCTAAATTGTACAAATCATGACCCCCGGGGGTTGGGCGGGGCCACAGTGGGGAATCAAAGTTTTACATAGAAATATAAAGGAAAAATATTTGAAAATCTTCTTTTCAAGAACCACTGGATCAGAAAAGTTGAAACTTATGTGGAAGCATCCTTGGGTAGTGTAGATTCTAAATTGTTCAAATCATGACCCCCGGGGCTTGGGCGGGGCCACAATTGGGAATCAAAGTTTTACAAAGAAATATAAAGGAAAAATCTTTGAAAGTCTTCTTCTCAAGAACCACTGGGTCAGAAAAGCTGAAACTTATTTTGAAGCATCCTGGGGTAGTGTAGATTCTAAATTGTTCATATCATGACCCCCGGGGGTAGGGTGGGGCCACAATGGGGAATCAAAGTTTTACATAGAAATATAAAGGAAAAATCTTTGAAAATCTTCTTCTCAAGAACCACTGGGCCAGAAAAGCTGAAACTTATTTTGAAGCATCCTGGGGTAGTGTAGATTCTAAATTGTTCAAATCATGACCCCCGGGGGTAGGGTGGGGCCACAATGGGGAATCAAAGTTTTACATAGAAATATAAAGGAAAAATCTTTGAAAATCTTCTTCTCAAGAACCACTGGGCCAGAAAAGCTGAAACTTATTTGGAAGCATCCTAGGATAGTGTAGATTCTAAAATGTGCAAATCATGACCCCCTGGGGTTGGGCGGGGCCACAATTGGGAATCAAAGTTTTACAAAGAAATATAAAGGAAAAATCTTTGAAAATCTTCTTCTCAAGAACCACTGGGCCAGTAAAGCTGAATCTTATGTTGAAGCATGCTGTTTTAGTGTAGATTCTAAATTGTACAAATCATGACCCCCGGGGGTAGGGCGGGGCCACAATGGGGAATCAATGTTTTACATAGAAATATATAGGAAAAATCTTTGAAAATCTTTTTCTCAAGAACCACTGAGCCAGAAATGCTGAAACTTATGTGGAAGCATGCTGTTTTAGTGTAGATTCTAAATTGTTCAAATCATGACCCCCAAGGGTTGGGCGGGGCCACAATAGGGAATCCAAGTTTTACATAGAAATATACAGAATAAATCTTTGAAAATCTCCTTCTCAAGAACTACTGGGTCAGAAAAGCTGAAACTTATGTGGAAGCATCCTTGGGTAGTGTAGATTCTAAATTGTTCAAATCATGACCCCCGGGGGTTGGGCGGGGCCACAATAAGGAATCAATGTTTTACATAGAAACATATAGAAAAAATCTTTGAAAATCTTCTTCTCAAGAACCACTGGGCCAGAAAAACTGAAACTTATGTGGAAGCATACTGGGATAGTGTAGAATTCAAATTGTTTAAATTATGATCATTGGGGTAGGGTGGGGTCACAATATGTATTACAAGGGGGAAATCTGGTAAAGAACGGAATGGCCAAAGCTTCTCAGGTGAGCGATGTGGCCCATGGGCCTCTTGTTGAGGCATGCCACATAGTGGGATTAATTTTGATATGAATCGGATGTCAACTTCATATTTTTCTGTGCATCTGCCTGTAATTGAACTTGTGTATGTTAACATGATAGTGCTTATTTACATCAGAGCGGGGGGATTACTAGTGAGCATTGGCTCACAGATTTCTTGTTCACAATCATTGATGTCTGCTAAACAGAGTCAACCTGTGCGCAAAGCTCCCCCAATTCCTAAAGTCATGTCTTTTCTCTACTCCTATTTCGTATTGTTTTATAGACTTTTGATCTTGAATGCTGTTCATTATCTCCATGTGTTTCATTAAAGGATATCAGGATCCTTCACATGCTGAGATCTTTCTGGATGTCACCTGAGTACATTCCGATAACCTTGGTTGGTACATAAATGTCGCCTGAAAAGTATTAAGGTGTGGTCAGGTGACGGAATGAAATGTTCTTGAGACACGGGGGCAAATCCTGTAGACACCGGGCTATACTCTGGCACTGATGGCTTGAATCTTGATACCAATGAAGGTGCGGTTGACGCTAGGTCAGACGTTGACAGCGTTGTCTTGGCTTGCGAGATGAATTCGGGTGACGTCGAGATGAACTTTGACAACACCGGACTATACTTGGTTGATGATGAGCTACATCCTCCTGACCCTTGGTTAAAAGGAGACCGAATAGATTTTCTTAAGGGTTTCGTATTTTTCAGGGCTGTCATGCCTGTAGCCAAAAACATTATTTTGTTTTGCCCAACACTTTATGTAGGATGCTTGCAGTATAATTGCTGCCGCTGTCTGAAGATTTTTTTTTAAATAGATGAGGTGAAACTTTTCATAAATTACTTTAACCAGTTCTTATTTTTTTTTCTTTGAAAAAAAAAAAATTAACCGATCGAGAAACTCTAATTATAACAAACGTCTACAATTAGTGTTTATAAGACTTATATTCTTACTGAATCTGCGTCGAGTAAAATATTTTTAAATCTTAATAAATGAGCTACATCCGCCTGACCGTAGAGTGAACGGAGATTGAATGCAGTGCTCAAGGGCTTCGCATTTTTTAGGGTTGTCATGCATGTAGCCAATGAACGAGACGTACAATTTTTCGTTGCTTATTTTTTTTTGATTTTCTCGAGAGCAGTGTAATTATGTGGAGTGTTTATAATTTTTTTCCAGTGTAATCTTCTCAACTCTTTATATTAATCAATTGCTTTCTCACAATTTCTTTTGCGCAGCTCCTTATGTTATTGAATATTCATCTTGAAAATCTTTTTTTATAATGTTGACTTCTTCCTCGTTCAGTCGACACGAACTTTTTCCTTCAATAAAATGCAATATTATACTAATATAATAAAATATTATACTAAATGAACATAAATTCGAAGCCTATCTTAAAACGTTTTCCAACACAAACTTACCTGACAATGCATTGTAACGGATTCGTAATCATGAGCATACCTAACCATATTGATTTTCAAATATAATAAATAGCACGGCGGTAGGAACCGGTGATTATATATAGTATACTATAGAAAACAGCTTCTTTATGCGAACCAAGAAAGCCAACCCGGGGTGCGTTCCCTGTTAGGTTGTGTCCGGTCAGTATTTTACTTTGTTTACTTATTACCTTGAGGTAGATCAGAGTAAGAAAGAGAAAATGCATTTCCACTTTATAACCACCAGTTGTGTACCCCATCCTACAGGAACCACTGACCCTAGTGCAACATGGGGCAACATATTTCAAAATTTTGGAATTTTAGCATAATTTTTAATTCATTTATCTCAATGGTTGGTTAACATCATAGAGCAGATTTCAAAGCATTAATTTATTTTTAGGCAAAGCAACCCCGCCCCCGGTAACCTGAAATTAACGATTTTGAAAGAGACACCTTTTTTCATCATAAATATGTAATTAGATCATTAACATATTGACTAGGAGCAAAGGAAAAGATTTTCAAAGAATTCATGCTTTTCCACTATTTAATCACTAAAGACCTGCCCTAACACCAGAGCCCCTTACTCAGGGGACATGAAATACACAAATTGGGAAGAAGCATCCTTCCTCATCATACTAAGTACATAGTTCATGGATTTATTACAGGAGCAGAAGAGAAAATTTTTAAAGAATTGATGTATTGATGTATTTTTACTATATAATCAATAGACCCCGGCCTAACACCAGAACCCCTTACCCAGGGGACATTAAATTCACAATTTCGGAAGAGACATCTTCATCCAACATAACTATGTACTTGCTTAGTTTATTTAATGCCCAAGAACAGAGAAGAAGATTTTCAAAGAAATAACGCATTTTCACTATATAATTAATTTAGCCCCGCCCTAGCACTAGAACCCCTGACCCTGAAGTCATGAATTTCACAGTTTTAGTAGAGGACTCAATGCATGCCAATAGTTTGATTCCTCTATGCCCAGGAGTGAAGAAGAACATTTTTAAAGATTTATTGATTTTAGCGGTTTTGGCTTCCACCCCTCCCAGGCCCAAGGGGGGCATGGACCATGAAATACACAATTTTTGTTCTCCATAAGTGCTTTGTGTCAAACTCGGTTGAGCGGTTGTGGATGAAGCTGAAAATGTTCAAATGTGAATACACGACAGACGACGACGAAAACAGATACCAATAGGTCACTTGAGTTTACTTAGAGGAACTTACTATCCAAATTGACAAATTATGTTTAAATATACATTTGAAATTACTCGTAAAGCATGAACAAACACAAGTTTTATGCACAGAAAAATTTTTGTGACTCATCCGCCTATGGAGGAGCTTTTTTATTTAGGTCAGCAGATGAAAGATAGTAAAAATGAAAATAATGAATTATATAGTTATGAACTTTTTCATTGTTCTAAGTAGGGATCTAAACATTGCCATTCTGTCAGTGTGAATTTTTTTTCTCTCTGCTCCATTTGCTTCTTATTACTATGTGCTTAAAAAACCTTAACTTCTGATGACTGTGTTCGTCGCTTTTTCTTTTGACTTGTACATAATGATGAAGCTGAGCTATTCTCTCCATCTTAATCAGATTCATGCTTTCTCTTACTAGAAATGGGTTGGATTTCTTCAGAAGTTTTACCTGTAGATGTAAAACCACTAGATACGAAACACGTTGGAGTAACTGCATGGTCTTTGCCACGGATATCCTCCATACCAGAGAAGAATGAAAAGTCTTTCTTGTCATTTCTCAAAAATGAAATACACATACTATATGCATTTCTCAATGATACTTGATGATAAAATTTAACAATTCCTACGTTTCTTCTACACATCAGACTTGCCATTATGGGCGAACAAGTCTTCAACCAACCACTCACTTGCGTCTCCGAGTATCTATAACCTTGTTCTCTCAGCTTCCCCGATCATCATTCTCACTTTAAAAAGTCCCAGATTCCCTTGAAATTTTATCTACCTGTTGTGTTTTTAACTCCTTTAAGCATGTAGATTATTTGTTCTTGCTTTCCAATTCCGCTTATCAAAACCTGAATAATCTCTTTTTTCCCCAAACTCACCAGGAAAGATTTTTAAACACTTGTGACGTGACAACCAAAACGAGCAGCATGTGACTTAAATCTACAACATCTGCGAGCGGCTGGTATGTGACAAGACACACAGAGCACAGCTGCTCGAAAAATAGACGATAAATTAAACAAACTTGTGTCTAACCTGACTCCTTTCCAAAGCGTTTCTAATTCATTTGCAATTCATTTACAATAGGTTCTAAACAACTTTTAATAATGTGTGGCTCTTTTTTGAAAGCAGGTATTAATCCAGCAATAATTACCTTTTCATACTTAAATCTAATGCTTCTGGGCAAATTTAACAAAACAAAATATTTAACCCCTACTGAATAATCGTTCCTATGTTTGAATGGCTGGAACCAGCCTATGTTCACCAAAAGAGCAACCCTCTGTATGAAAGAAAGGGTACCCCATTGAAAGAAAAAAATTTTCCATACTCTTAAAATGTTGGAATCTGAATCCCAGTTTTGCCAAAATTGCCCAATTTCTTTCCGTTTCAAAATAGTTTCAATGCATTACATTGTAATAACACTGTTCAAACAGTATACTTTCAATGGATAAAAATTTCTGATGTTATCTTTGCAAATAACCTGTTTAACTAAGGGAGAATTATATTTTACATATCTCTTTCTAACTTAACTGTCAGCTTGAGGATTGTTTTCAATTACTTATCCCATCTTTCCCAGAGTCCAAAAAATCATATAAACAAAAACATGAGGTACAAACAACAAATCGTTTAAATTCATCTCTATCTACCTTCATTTTTTGTTGGGTCAAATTTCTGAGATTTTAGACAAAAAAAATATTGGACCAGACATGATTTCGTGTTTGTAGAATGTTTTGTAATAATACAGATAAAATTTTATATTTCTTGGTGTCTTGTAAGTTCATGGTGTCTCTCGATACCTGGAATACAGCAAAAATTAAGCCCCCACGAAAATAAATGACAACACAGTTACCAGTATAAATGATGAATTTATGACAGATTTTTCTTGACTGTTTTACAGAGAACAAGAAAACTGAAGAAGACTTAAACTAACCTCAGCAGAGATAAACTTGGAGACATTGACAGGTCAAAGCTGATGGAGGTGATGGCCCCGGATTACTTTTCCTCTGAAGAGTCTGAGGAAGATTAAAGACGAAATTTTCTTCACTTCTAATGGTTGCCACATTATAAATATGTATTTGTATGATAAAATAATATCACAGATTATATAAACCATATAATATGTAATGTTTTAGCATTACCCATCATCTATTTATGCTGAACATGACAGTTTGTAAATTTTCTATTCAATCAAATGATGGATATGGAGATAACGAACAGTATTCAATCTCAAAGTCCATAAAACAATACAAAATAAGAGCAGAGCAAACACAACCAAAGTTACAGTATTTCAGAATAAGCAAAGACAATCCTAGGATTATGTTACTGCGAAAGTAGGCAGACAGTCCCGAGGTGACTGTAAACGTTCTCAAGACTACTGCTACAGTGGCCCCCAGTGCTCTGCTTACATGTACACCAATTCCTCTCAAGTGTCTAAGATGCACATAGGGAATGGTACCTGTATGAAGTTGCTCCGTATTGTGCAAAGAAGTAAAGTTGCCCCAAATTAGTTGTCATAAAACCCCTCATCAACAGAGAATCTCCTTCATTGACTCGAAAATGCAGGTAATGCGAACTGGCACAATTAACCAAATTGTAAACACTAGTTGTTCAATAATCTTTCTTCTTAAAAAAATATTGAGACTTTAATATTTGCCACTGTTGCTTCATGTTTTAATGTGTTTTTTTTTTCAAATATCAAACTATAGATAGTTTATTAAACATGACGTTTTTCATACCATTTGTGTCTTTATTATTATACACTAAATTGACTATGGATTTTTCCGTTATTTCCCGATCATCACATGGAGCACATGGCGGGTGTGACCGGTCAGCAGGGGATGCTCACCCCTCCATGGCACCTGATCCCACCTCCGATGTTTTGGATGTCCGTGTTTGCTCTGCTCCTATTTTGTATTTTTTGAAGGACATTTGATCTTGAATACTGTTCGTTATCTCCATATGTTTCATGTGTAACAGAGATTTTTGCTCTTTCGCTTTAAATTATATGAAAACACTGAACAATCAAATGGTTGAATTGTCTAACACTGTATGTTTTTTTAACCAATTTGAAGTAACTGGTACAGCAGTCACTTGAGATTTTCAAAGTACATGTAACTGTTCAAATCAATTCTTATAAGCAATTTTTCATGCACAAAGTCATAACTTGAACCACTATAATTTGAAAAATGAGTTCTATTAAAAGCTGCAAGCATTGATCAACATTTGTAAAAAAAATAATAATAATAAAATAAAATAACATCATTATTTTTTGTGAGCGATCTATTTACATTTTGCTGTCTTGAAGTTTCCTGCAACCTTGTAATGTCCTCTAATGAAGCAGTCTGTGTGTGTTTATATTGCCTAACACTGTCATAAACCTGTCAAAATCTATACCTGATTGTCAGAAATGTGGAGATGGCATATGCCTGCAGTCTAGTCCATTCATGTATTTATTTCATAATAAAATATGTTAAATCAAATCATAAACCTGATTGTAAACTTCAAGTGCTTAACTCTAAATTATTCAATTTGATTTAAAAAAAAAAGCACTGATTTAAAGACCAGACTACCAAATGTTTTAGAAGAAAGTTTAAAATAATAAACATTACCTTCTTCAGACAGGGTGCTGCACGTAACTTCTAAGATAGGAATTTTAAACAAAATCAAACGTTTTCATACAGAACCTTCAAAGAAATTTATAATTTAAGAAATCCACTTAAAGTACAGTACCAACCAGACACAATCTAACACCAGAAATATCCCAAAGTGTGCTTTGCGGGAACAGCTATTATAAAACTTGGCTATACTCCGGAGTTTGTTGAGATCAGATCAGCGTCTGCAAAAGAACATCCGCTTTCATTCATACATATGCATGTGGTAGACGGCTGGCTTGACCTTTCCACAAGTAGTTCATCTCAATAATGAATAATTATATTAAGTGATTGACTTTGTAGAATACATGTATGTATCTGTGAAACTCTTGGCCTCATTCCATAGCCATCACTGGCGTTTTCTTTGGTACAGAGTGCATCTTGCCATGGAGAATTGGGATTGGATTATCTGCAGCTTGGAGAGGGGGTCTTGAATTGATTGAATTGACTTTTCCATATTGACATTGTGTTATATTTATTGTACAAGTATAGTTTTTCGAGTTTTTTTGTGAATTAAGAAACTTTCATAGTTTTATGTTTACAATTATGTAGTACAATTTTCTTCAACTTCTTTTCTACTCAATAACGAATGTTGCTCAATTTGACTTGCGACTCGAGAAGTCTCCAGTCAAGCACTGTGCTATGTCTAAACGAAAAGTCATTTAGTGAAAAATGAACTTGAGGTTTCACTGTACCCGGGGTGTTCAACCACAGAAGAAAGCTGTTCATAAGGGATATTTCTAGGAAGAAATTCATGATATACTCCCAGAAGGTCTTTCAACAGGATTCTTCAATCTGAACTGTAGTGACCGGTCCACTCGACAGTAATGTTCTTAGTAGTGCTTAACACATTGGGGCGCTGAAATAAAACCACAACCTCATATTTGCCTGACAGCGGGCTCATCTCCCAATGGACTTGCAGTTGTGGACAATACATGCACCCACAATAGCACATGTTTGTCATAAAATGTTATTCTAGAAGAAGCTTGGGAACACTGAAAAAAATTGCAACAAACTAGATACTATAATCTAACCGGTTTGTTAAAAGTCCACACTGTAGACTATTGTTTACATGTTATGACATAGATTATGTTCACAAGCTATAAGACAGATTAATATCTGCAGAAGCCACACTTACAGTAATCTCCATTCCAATTGTTAATGAGACCTTTGATTTATTATGGATGCATTTCTAATATTCTCTGGGAGTTCAGTCAACAGTTTGGCTCCTGCATATCTAAAGGAACGTAGACCATGTTTTAGAGTTCTTAATTACCCTAGATACCAGTACTGTATTACTTTTGTCCGTCGGATGGGACGTTAAATTTAAATGGTGACCCGTGCCCCATGGAAAATGCCTGACATTTTTCTGGATTTGCTTTCATCATCATAAGTTATAGTAACAAATGATAGTGTTACACACAGACAGAATGTATAAATTTAAGACCTTGAACTTTGACCTTTTGACCTCAAAATCAATAGGGGTCTTCATGATGCCACAGGGAGTTATGTAAAATTTCATTGCGATAGCTCAAATGGTTCTAGAGATATCGTGTGGAAATGAAAGTTTTATAACAGACAGAATTTGCTTATTTATGACCTTGACCTTTGACCTTTTGACCTCAAAATCAATAGGGGTCTTCTTTAGTCCATAGAGAGTTGCTATGCTAAATTTCATTGCAAAAGCTCAAAGGGTTCTCGAGATATCGTGTGGAAACGAAAGCGTTACAGACAGACAGAAAGACGGACGGACAAACCCAAATTAATATCCCCCACTTTTCAAGCGGGGGACAATAAACTATAGTAATTTAATTCGCGTATGGTGTTTCTCGCGAAATAACGTGATAATTCATTCCACGTTTATATTTAGGAATATACAGTAATCATTATATATATGTTTTTTTTTAGCTCACCTGAGCCGAAGG